GTGAGGTCTAATCTGTAAATACAAAAAGTTTGTGTTAAATTATTTTTAGCACTCTCTGGTTATGGAAATATTAGAAACTAATGCGAGAATGCAGGAAATAAATAAGTAAAATAAAACGGATATAAATAAATAAAATAAAACGGATATAAATAAAACTGAAGTGTCTGTTTGTAATTTCAAATTAACAGCTTTTTACTAAATCCATATGAAAGTATATACAGAAAAAAAATTTAAATGTTTGTCTGCTTGGTCTCGCTAATCTCTGAAACGGTTGGACTAATTTTGACGAGACTTTCATTCGCAAATAGCTAATATAGTAAGGAGTCACTTGGCTACTTTTAATTTCGAAATTTTCTATATTTTAAATAATAAACAAAAGTTCCTTTCCAAGTGGACGTAGTCGCGGGTAACAGGTTGTATTTAATATTATAATGAAGTAATATAATCTCAGGAGAATTCACACAGCGCCATCTAGACCCAAGTTAAGCTACCTAAAGCTTGAGTTATGAGTACTAGAGAACTGATACATTTACATAGATATATTTTTTTGTAAATACATACATATTATACATAGAAAATACCCAGACCGATACAAAAAATCATACTCATGAATACAAATGTTTGTGCCGTGCGAGGAATCGAACCCGCGACCATATGTCGTAAAGTGATATTTAAAGAAATCTCCGGTGATAGTTTTGAAAATTATTTTATTGACGGTCTCGGTGGTCTAGCAGTTTAACACACCGCTTTACTTCCATTGGTCGCGGGTTCGATACTCGCACGGTACAAATATTTGTATTCACGAGTACGTTTGTTTGTATCGGTCTGGGTGTTTTCTATGTATATTACGTTTGTATTTACAAAAATGTCTCTAAGTATTTATATCAGTTGTTTAGTACACATAACACAAGCTCTGCGTATGGTACGCAGAGCTTGTGTTATGTGTACTATGTGAGTGTGGGCGCTGTGTGAATTGTCTCGAAATATTATTATTTGATTTTACAAATATTTTGCTCTCCATGACCAGGGCTGGCCAATAAAAACTATTAATTTTTTGTTGGATCTAGATGTTATCTAGTTTAGACGGCCCTGGTATGTTCTCAAGAAACCGCTAGACAGATGCGTGTATAGTATATAGTGTGGTAGAGTTATCACCCTGAACTACTAAGATGTGGGGGGAATGAGATTGTTAATAACGTGGACTCATGACCTCATTACTAGCAATGTACCATGTCAGGTTGACCTTACGTTCCCCCTGGAAACCATCGTGACAAATTCTTGGTGAATTTGTCACGTTGACCTAACTGACCTGACCTCATGCTCATCTTATCATCCTCCACTGGTGCTCCATCAGCGTAAGCCGTTAGCGCAGGCGGGTGCACCATTCCATTATCATCCATAATAAAAATTACTAAGATAGGCACACTACTTAATATTGTTTTCATTCATGATCACTATATATTTGTTACCTTTAATTTTCTCTCGTTTGCATTATTATATTTTAATATGTATAGTACATGTTACAACAGAGCACTGATATCTATAGCACAGGTGTAATACCTAGTTTAGGATATCAGACTCCTCATTTTGTATTGCACAACTTTCTGACATTGATTACCTAGCTAATGAACTTCAACTATTATGTACTCTCCTATCTAATTTTCAGGTTACGATCACTGATTAGATTTAATGATTTTTTTTAAACAGCATATGCTGGTGGTCACTCTATTCTCCCAAATCCCGAATTTAAATGAAATTGTATTCTGTAAATATGTACAACACTTAAAATACGAGCTGAGTTTCTTATCAGTTCTTCTCATCTCGAAATCATTCCGAACTGGCTGTACATTTGACATATCATAAGTCTGTAATACCTACATGAATTAAGATATTTTGAATTTGAATTTAATCTTGTTTATACAAATAAAGCAATATTATTATTACCTACCAGCCCGATATTTAGTCTCTGTTTTTTGGAAAATATTGTTTTCAGCAATAAGGCCGCCTCATCTATACATATAAGTAAAATTGGAGTGTCTGTTTGTAATATTGAAATAACTTTTTTTACTACACGCGTATGAGTATAAATACGGTACATACACCAAAATAACATTTTTTACAATTTTTGGCTGTCTGTCTGTCCCGCTTATCTCTGAAATTGCTGGACCGATTTTGATGGGACTTTTTTGGCAGGTAATAAAGAGTAACATAGGCTACTTTTATTTTAGAAAAATAGTATAAAGTTAAATTCCACGCGGACGAAGTCGCGAGTACAGCCAGTATAAAAATATGTTAAACACGGAGTTTAAAGTAAAAAAAACACAATTCATACAAGGAATTTCATTTATTTCTTCTCTGTATCTCGTACAGTTCACAACGGATAGAAATGTGTATAAAATATACATATTTAAACTACAGTTATTTCATTTCATTCATAAATTTAGTCACAAAATTTAACCCTTCGAACGTCTTGTCACAGATCTGTGCCCGCAAAACTGACTTTTTAACCAATTTTATCCTTATTTAAAACAAAATAAGATTAAAAACGCATTTGAATCGGCCGCTGCGACAGACGACGGGCATTCGAAAGGTTAAATGCCCCCCTCCCCCCTGAACCCGTCTTGTCACATCCGGTCACATTTATTATAACCTCTCTAGGTTTACAATTAAATAAACCTAGTTCCAATACAAAAATATAGGAGGAAGGGGGATTATAGTAATGTGGGCTGATGATCTTATTGCTAGCAATGTACCATGTCAGTTGACCTCCACGTCTCCAGTTCTCCTGGAAACCATCATGATAAATTCTTGGTGAATCTCTCACGATGGACTAACTGACCTGACCTCATGCTCATCTTATCATCCTCCACTGGTGCTACCAGCGTAAACCGTTAGCACAGACGGGTGCACCATTCCATTATCATCCAAAGAAAATACAAAAATTCATATTGTAAGACATTTCAAAAGTGACAACTTCTTATCTCTATCTAACTCCGCCCCCCCCCCCCCTCTCCCTTTATCGCAAATAAAACTATAATAAATCTATCTATCTATCTAATATGTGACTTCATTTACGAATGGTATGCGACAATATCCGATGCAACAGACTATAAAAGTCATCGCTTTACATACTACATAATGTTATGATATATTTGTTTTATTTCAAGTATTCGTACAAAATGTTCTACATTTCATTGACAATTCATTCATCGAGGTAGGATTTAAATACTAGCTAACGTCTCCAGCTTTGTCTGAGTAAATCAAACACTTATAAAAGGTGTTCTTATTTATTTTAATTACGAGTTTTGAATCTTGAGAAATTTATTGCCCTTTTCAATATTAATTTTCTCAACAAAAGCTCCAAATGACGATCAATTCAATCTATGGCTATACCAAAAATCATCAAACACGGCACAGTGGTTTAGGTAAGAGAAAAGAACGAAAAAATAACATTTGTATATAATAAATCTGCGTAAGTCAGTAATAAGTACATATGTTATATACAGGTTTAGTCGGAAAGTAACACTGCACTGTAACATATTAACAATAAATTTGAATTTAAAAATGAATCTGTATTATTGTAAACATGTACAACATTTATTTGAAAAGAATACGAGCTGAGTTTCTTGTCAGTTCTTCTCATATCGAAATCATTCCGAACTGACAGTAGATTTGACATATCATGAGAGTCTGTAATAGACCTACGTGAATAAATATATTTTGAATTTGAGTAACGTGGCGTCCAAAAATTACGTGAGGTGTTTTTTTTTTATTTTCTGGCCCCCCTGGTGAGATGTCGTGAGATTTTATTGGGGAGGGCCCCATCCCCCAATCTCACATGACATTTTTCAAAATGTGAGTTTCTTACTTAAAAATTATTTCGTTTTGTTTACGACTAGTTAAGACTAGTAATCAATATTGCTGAGATTTATAAGTGTAATAAGCATGTACAATCTGGATGGACCAAAATAGTGTATATATGAAAAAAATTGCGTGATATTTGCCGAGACCCCCCCTCTCTCCACCGCAAGTTTGATCATTTGACTCGACCCCCTCTCCCCCTTAAACATCTCACGTAATTTATGGACGCCCCCTAACTAATTGATCCCGCGTGATATTTGTAGAACAAAAGTTGTTTGTTATGGTTTTTTTCCTATGCTTGCTGCTTAATAACCTTTCTGACTAAACCTGTATATGTCTATTTTAGTATAATGTATATCTTATGTATAAATTAAGTAATAAATAATTACATTATACCCGGCGCTACTCGAGTGATGACTTATCTTTCTAGTTGAAAGAAATATTAAAATCTATAAAGAATTTATTGCAAATAAAAAAAAACATCTTCATTATGAGTTTATGGAAAAGCAAATTAAAAACGTGATTAAACCAGGTTTCATTCATTTTAGTTACTGATATTGGGCAGTTACAACCGCCACGATGAAACTAAACATCTGGTAGATTCTGAAAATATTCATCTACCCTCACTTCTCTTCAAATAAAAAAATATCGACAAAAAAACACTGCGATCCGCAGTATAGTACCGAATACGTTCAGTTTGAATCTCCATAGTAATTATAATTAAATAATAAATTGAAAAATATGTACAGTGCCCTTATATGACTTAGGATCGTGGAAGACTATTCAAGATTTTATGGTTGAAAATAGAATGAGTACACCTAATAGATCCTAAACACAGTTTATAAAGGTGGTAAAACAATCAAAATGAGATGCAAAACGCCTACAAGGGAGTCCGTCCTCCTTCGAGAAGAATACACTCTATCCTGAGGAGATAAAAACCATCGCTCCTAAGAATTTCTTGTCACTGACGGGTCTAAGTAGCGGACTCTGAAAAAGGCGAGCACAATAGATCTATGTAGGTCGCAGTGCTACAGGCTCAAGCACTTAACAATAGCCCAAACTGAGTAAAAAAAAACCTACACGGTAGACGAACTAGTCCGTCCTGCTTTGGGAAGTATACACTCTATCTATATAGGAGATAAAAACCATAGCTCCTAAGAATATCCATCAATTCTTGTCCTTGACGGATCTAGGTTGCGAACTTTGTAAAAGGGCGAGCATAATAGATCTATGTAGGTCGCAGTGCTACAGGTCTTAGCACCTGACAATAGCCCAAGCTTTTCAATAAAAAATATATAAAATTCATCCATTTTGCATATATAAGGCCCAAGTCCTTATTGAACTAAGGTCTACGGCATTTTATTTCTGAGATCCAAATGCTGTCAAGGTCACGTGTACATATTTTCCAATTTAAGGTCTTATATTTAAGGTGTATGTTTTGAAGATCAGTAATCCCGGAAGTTCCTGTTCTGCTTGAAGGAGCCCCCGCCGCTCGTTGCTCCGCCCCCGGGGGACGAGTTGAGGAACAGCTCGATGTAACGATGGTCCATGTTGTTCTTGTCGCGGCGCATCGCCTGCAACAGTCAGTGTTAATAGATCAATTTCTTAATAATATTATAATTGCGAAAGCAACTCTGTCTGTCTCGCTCTCATGTCAAAACTACTGTATCGATTTAAATGACATTTTGTACACAGATAGTCTAGACCTTGAGAAAGGACATAGGCTAGTTTTTAATGCGAAAAAGGGTTGTAAGGGGTTGAAATGAGAGATGAAAGTTTGTATGGAAGAACCGTCATTTTTGGAGATGAAAGCTTGAAACTTAATATTAAGTTAAAGCTGTTGATTAAATATAAATAAATATTATTTATATTTAACTCTCAAAGTTTACAAAACTTTACCCTTAAGGGGATGAATAAAAGTTTATATTGAAATACGTTTTCGTTTTAAATTGAAAAACGGATTGACCGATTCTCTTGAAATTTTGTGAGCGTATTGAGTAGGTCTGAGAATCGGCCAACATCTATTTTTCATCCCCCTAAATGTTAGGGGTAGTCCACCCCTAATTTTTTTTTTATTTTAAGGCAAAACAACGTTTGCCGGGACAGCTAGTATATATTTAGATTTGTATTAAAAATTTATTGTTCCTTTTGTAGATTCTTGTTTTGTTAACTCCATTTTTATTCTATTCTGTTATATGTCAGTAGTCTATAATTATACCTAATATAATTTTTCTCCGTAAACCAAATCTTTTTTTTCTCTTACCTGTACAAATATAATAATACTACAGTATATTCTTACCCTCATCGCGTCCTCGTGGCACTCGAACTCGACGTCAGCCTCCCCCGAGGGCCGGCCGCTGTTGTCGTACAATATGTTGATATTGGTCGGCCATATAGGTTTGAAAAACTGCAAAATTTATACCGACATTTTCTTAGTAATATTATAAACGTCAGAAGTTTATATCTACTGAATGCATTTTGATTAAACTTTACAGTATTATAGCGTACTAGCAGATCAGCGCATGTTCTTCTGCATCACACTCACTTGACATTTATCATTATACTAGCTACTCGCCCCGGCTTCGCACGGGTGTACTATATGTCATTATATATATCATATTAATATAATCCTCTTGAATCACTCTATCTATTAAAAAAAATGCTTCAAAATCCATTGCGTAGTTTTAATGACTTAAGCATACATAGTGACAGACAGCGACAGCGACTTTATTTTATACTATGTAATGATATCGCCAAATTTACATAATATCTTTATTATAGCCTGTTTTATTTTTATATCTAAAGTATATTACTGCAAGGTTTCATCAAAATCCGTACATTTTTGAGTGAAAGAGTAACAAACATCCATACACCCATTCATCCATACACACAAACTTATGCATTTATAATATTACTTTTATTTGACTATCTTTAAATAGGTATATAGTTATGAACAAATCTATACAAATAAAAAAATAATGAGCCTATTTGGAATTTAAAATTAATAGGTTTTTATTAAATATATGCAGGATTATACTGTACTTAATTATTATAATAAAATTAATTTAAAAAAAATCGACATTCTTGTTTATGTCTGAAACTGCTGGACTGATTTTAACGAGACTTTCATTTGCAGATCGATATCGTTATAAGGAGTAAGTTAGGCCGGTTTCCCAATTAGTGCATCTATGAGACACAGTCACCTACATACATCAAAATAATAATTGCATTTAATAATGTCTAGTAAGACAAATTCAATATTGTCTACTAAGGCACTGCTGTGTCTAAACTGTGTCACCCCACCTTACATTTTCCTATTGTTATTTAGTATATAAGATCATTATTTCTATGTACATATTGTCAGTTTATCATCATCTGTAATATACATCGTCTCGACCAACAACATCTTATTATTCACCCGCAACAGTTCGCGTACCCCCAGAGGTAAGTGAAGTTGGATCAAGGGGTACGTGCGGCTATCAGTAAAACAAACACACACACGAACTCTCACATTTATAATATTAGTCTGATTGCTACGTAAGGTTTGAGATTTTTTAAGTGGTACGCAGCAAAAACTATTTGGAAACCACTGATTTAGGCTCATTTAATTTAGACATCAATCGAAATTAATTAAAAAAACATTTATTCTATGAAGTGTATGGAGTATACTCACGTAAGCTATATCCTGTGGCGTGGCTTTGAATGGCAATCCGCGCATGTGCACGCTGAAACAGCCGCCGCCACCACCGCCCCGGTTGCGGAACCCGCCGCGACCACCGAAGTTACCACCACCACCACCACCTATAAGAGGAAATACAGACAGACATAATTGCTGTAGTTTTTTAAGTATATACACGCATACATACGTGAGCAACGCGCTCGTGACAATCCTTAGGAGTGCATAAGCAACTCACCGCCCATCGTGGATAATTCACCACGATTTAACATTTTTTAAAGTTATCTAGTGCCCATAACGTGAGCTCTGCCTAGCTTGGGACTAGATGGGGCTGTGTCAATTGTCCAGGGTTATTTTTATCTATACGTCTATACATATAAAAAAAATTGGAGTCTCTGTTTGTAATATTGAAGTAACCATTTTTTACTACATGCATATGAATATAAATAACATACACCAAAATAACATTTTTTACAATTTTTGTCTGTCTGTTGGTTTGTTCTGGCTAATCTCTGAAATGGCTGGACCTATTTTGTCGGGCCTTTATTTTGGCAGGTAGCTGATGTAATAAGGAGTAACTTAGGCTACTTTTATTTTAGAAAAATAAAGTTAATTTCCACGCGGAAGAAGCCGCGGGTGCAGCTAGTGCGGGTACAGTTATTAATAATTTTAAACTTCATTTTTAAAGGTTACAACTGGAAGAAAAGGCAATTAGAAATGGGAACAAAAATTAAAATTTCTACCAAGATCCTCTGGCGCCAATTCATCCAGAGAATCTGTTTCTGTCGCACGGTGTGGGTCTGTACCCTCGGTTGCCACGGAAAAATAACACCTAATAGCATCAAATTGCTAACCTCTACCAAAAGATCCTCTGGCGCCAAATCGTCCAGAGAACCTGTCGTTTCTGTCGTACGGCGTCGGTCTGTACGCTCAGTTGCCACGGAAAAATAACACCTATTACCTTAGTATAAATAGCATCAAATTGCTAACCTCTACCAAAAGATCCTCTGGCGCCAAATCGTCCAGAGAACCTGTCGTTTCTGTCGTACGGCGTCGGTCTGTACCCTCGGTTGCCACGGAAACCGCTCTCCATCCTAGCGCCGTAAGCGCGCACCTCTTCCGCTGAGCTCCGGAACACTTCTATATATCTGCGAATGATAACCCATACTACAGACACTGTCGGGATATGAGTTTATAGTAATTCTGTGGCGGTACTACTTGGTAACAATTTATACATCTATACATATAAATATAATTGGAGTGTCTGTTTGTAATATTCAAATAACCGTTTTTAACTACATGCATATGAATATAAATACGGTACATACACCAAAATAACATTTTTTATAATTTTTGTCTGTCTGTCTGCCTGCCTGTTTGTTCCGGCTAATTACTGAAATGGCTGGACCGATTTTGACAGGACTTTTATTAACAGGTAGCTGAGGTAATAAGGAGTAATTTAGGCTACGCGGACGAAGTCGTGGGTACAGCTAGTATTAAATATAAAATTGGGTTGATATTGTAATATGTCATTTATCTTCTTGTGATGAGACAGCTTTCCGAATGAGCGGTAGCTTAAATTTAAGTTCATTTCAATAAAGATTTTTCTATTCTATTCTTATATTCGATGTTTTATTATGAAACATAGTTGCCAACAATTGTTACAAACAATAACAAATATATAACATTGACAATTTGTATGAAACATTTCAGAGTTGTTACATGTTGTGCAATTGCAACTGCCATATTGTTCTTACATAATCGAAACACTGCTGGCCTATTTTGGATATTAATTTCCATGCAACTGATTCCGAGATTCAACTCCAGATTAGATCTACTGCACACTCTAATAAGTTTTACATGAGAATTATTAAAAAAAATGGCCAAAAGGATGTCGCCACAAAAGAAGCGGCAGATAATACTATAGAATTGATATTTTTTTTTACAATTGTTAGCATTAACTAAAAACAGAATTCGATTATGTAAACCATTTGCAATCGTTACTCATTTTGAACAGAACGAAATTAAGTTTTGCTAATGTATATTAACTATTTACCAATCATTACATAGTAAAACAAAGTCGCTGTCGCTGTCTGTCCGTCGCTATCTATGCTTATATCTTTAAAACTACGCAACGGATTTTGAAGCGTCTTTTTTAATAGATAGAGTGATTCAAGAGGACGGTTTATATACACAACACATGTACACCCGTGCGAAGACGGGGCGAGTAGCTAGTTGCAGATAAAACCGAGTATGTATGTTCCACGATTATAAATGTCAAATAGTTCAAACATAATCGCAAACTTTAATTTAAAATTATTTTATAAATATACTTTTGTAATTCTCTCTTTAGTAGATATTGTTAAGTTGTTTTATTAAGTCAGCCGAGCACCTAACATATCAATTCTGTCTAATGATATCCTCTGAACACGATACAGACTTGCATGTCTAGTGTGTGGTTCGCCGTAATGTGTATTAAATGTAAAGTGTTTTATTGGCCAATAAAGTTTATTATTATTATAAATAAATAACAAATTTAATATACCTTTGCTCAAAATCCTGAGGCCCTATTACGTAATACGGTTTCTAATTTCAATTGTTAGCAATTGTTTCAATCATAATTAAAAATTCTATTCCTGACTTGACAAATTACAACATCAATAACAATGTACCTTTTAAACTACTATATTCTAGAATAAAATTAACAGATCTTATAATGTAATATATAATTATTACTATTGAAATTGCTAAGTCATCAAATGGACCAATTTGAGATGCGTAGCCGTAAGAAGATTCTGTTATTTCATGTGTCGCATGGACGAAGAGTACAGTCGCGAGTACAGGTAGTTTAAAATAATAAACGTAATTTCAAAATTACTAATAACACTAACCATTACTGTAACATAAATTAAATGTACTAATTACACAATTTATATTCAGAATCTACCTATAATATTTACATAAACGAGATGTGCGTTTCAAAACAACTATATTTTTAAATTATAAACTGCATTTATATTATTTTGTTTAATTCCGCTACAAGCATGTGTGAGACTACAAATATTCAGTAGAGAAACTGTGTAGCTGTCTTCTAAGCTACATCCGAGCTTTATTCAATGCCTGTTGATGCCTCGTTCAACGAAACACGTGTCGCGATATGGGTGTAGACTCAATAACGGTCGGAATTTGATCACCAATAGAGAAGGTATATACGCTTCCTGCAGCGGTGGTCAGGTTTCCGCACTGAATATTTGTGGTCTCACGCATGGTAATTGTAGCAGAATTAAACAAAATAATATAAATTCATTATTTAATGAAATTAATAAAAATAATATATCTATATTAACAAAATATATAGTGTTCCTTTTTTTTGTATTAAATATATTCCCAAGAAAAGTTAATTATTCGAAATTTAATTAAGAACAATAATAATAATAATAATCTCAGGACAATTCACACAGCGCCATCTAGACCCAAGTTAAGCTAGCTAAAGTTTGTGTTATGGGTACTAGATAACTGATACATATACATAGATATTTTTTTTTGTAAATACATACATATTTTACATAGAAAACACCCAGACCGATACAAACAATCATACTCATGAATACAAAATGTTTGTGCCGTGCGAGGAATCGAACCCGCGACCATCGGTCGTAAAGCGGTGTGCTAGACCGCTAGACCACCGAGGTCGTCATACAATGATGTTGTTTATTAAATAAATAACTTATACACGAAACTGTTATTCGAGATATTACTAATTTAGTAACACGCCGTCGCTTCAAAAATATACTTTACGCCAGTACAAATAAGACTACTATTTACTTCAAGCCGAGTCTTAAACAATGTCAATTACCACAAATATTATGTAAACAGGTAAAAGCATCAACAGACTGTTACTACTTATACGTTACACGAAAACGAAATTATAGCGCGTTGTAGCCGAACAACGCCATCTAGTGTCAAAATTTAAAAGATGTATTTAATGAAGATTGAACATGTATACGGTCTCTATAGTTCCTGTAATGGGAAATACCATAAATAAATATACAATTCCACCATCTTCGAGTCTTCCCCGGCTCGTGGGCCCGGCGTTCTCCCCGCTCCCCGCGCCCCTCGCCCCTCGCTCGCCCATACCTTCGACAACTCAACATCCAATCACGTTTGCACTTTGATGCCATCATATTCCACCTCACTTTATTGTGTCTAAGTCATAGACAACAGCGTTTTTTTTTTTTTTTCTTAAATTATCTCATATATAACTTTAAAATGTAACTGTATTTCTTTATACTCGAATGAACTATATGCGCTGTAGTATGGTGTGGGTGAGATTCATTAACGTTTCGTTTCACACTTAAAATTTAGCCGCGTTTTACAAATAACGACTTAGTATTTCAGCTGTACCACATTCGTGATATATTAAATGATTAATAACTGTATTAACTTCAATATAGCAATTGTTAAGTGTAAAATTAATAACTGTTAACCGCGCCATGTTACAGCTCACATGATATAGTGTGTTTTTTGTATAATCATAATTTAGTTTTAGTTTCTTCTGATTTTTAATAGAGTTATGACTTAAATACAATAAAGTGTGAATATGAGATAGCATGCGAAAGGTGCATTCATTTAACCAATTTTAATTAGTCTTTTCGCCTACTTGATGAATATTTCCAATAACTGGTTGACGTCTATGGTCTATAGAATAAAAAATAAATAAGAATCATAAATAGTTTAAAAAATAAGACGCAAAATTACAGGATATATGAATAATGTCAGACCTATCCTTTTTTATCTATACATATAAAAAAAATTGGAGTGTCTCTGTTTGTAATATTGAAATAACCGTTTTTTACTACATGCATATGAATATAAATACGGTACATACACCAAAATAACATTTTTAACTATTCTTGTCTGTCTGTCGGTTAATGTTATGTTCCGGATAATCTTTGAAATGGCTGGACTGATTTTGTCGGGACTTCTAATGGCAGGTAGCTGATGTACTAAGGAGTAACTTAGGCTACTTTTATTTAAACAAAAAAATAAAGTTAAATTCCAAGTGGACGAAGTCGCGTGTACAGCTAGAATGTAATATAGTAGTTTCATTACAACACGAATCATTTCATCTAACGTTACGTATTTAATTAGTGTATTTGTAGTATATACTTATAAAAACTAGTAAAAATTAATCTATAATAATAATAATCTCAGGACAATTCATACAGCGCTATGGTGTTATGGGTACACGATAACTGATACAAATACATAGATATATATTTTTTTCGTAAATACATACATATTATGCACAAAAAACACCTAGGCCGCTACAAATAATCATACTCATGAATACAAATGTTTGTGCCATGCGAGGAATCGAACCCGCGACCATCGGTATAAAGTGTGCTCAACCGTTTGACCACTGAGGCCAAAAATTAAGAGTAGCAACATGTAGGAATCAAAATACATAAATGGCTGCAGGCCAACTCCAGCTTGACGGATATGCTTTAGCCTGAGTGTCCTCTTAAGGACGGACAGTGTGATTGGAGTCGTCGTCCTCGCCGGCGGGGACGGTGTCGTGTTTGTGTAATAGCGAGATAGTGTTCGATCTGAATTCGATTCGATCTATTCGAAGCTGAATACAAATGTATCATTACATAGTACAAAACAAAGTCGCTGTCGCTGTCCGTCCATATATTTGCTTAAACCTTTAAAACTACGCAACGCATTTTGAAACGTTTTTATTTAAGAGATAGTGATTTAGAGGAAGGTTTATATGTATAATACATGTACACCCGTGCAAATCCGGGGCGAGTAGCTAGTAAAATAAATTGACAATATGAAACGCAGTCTACATGAGTGGCTTCAACTTCAATATGTTTCTATAGACCATAGAGCGAAACCAACAACAATCCTTACCCCAAATCAACCCCATCCACTACACCAAAAGAATGGGTGTGGTTTGTGAGCCAAAAACAACCACGGTGGACATCCCAAGATGCTTAATTTCTTTTCTTAAAAATTTACTAAAAAATACTTTATTTAATCAAAATTTAGGTACAATATATTAAGGAGATACTATTTTATATTATCAATGAAGTACTGCAAATAAATTTCATGTTAGAATTAATTGATTCTAAATATATAC